AAGTTGTTAGGCTAGACCAGTGGTCGGCAAACTGCGGCTCGCGAGCCACATGCGGCTCTTTGGCCCCTTGAGTGTGGCCACGAAGTTTCAATCACACTGTACGTGCACGCCCGCCCGTGGTATTTTGTGGAAGAGCCACACTCAGGGGCCGCAGTTCGCCGACCACTGGGCTAGACCAGGTGGTTTCTTGTATTCCTATGGGATCACAAACAGGAGGTTGAAATGTATGTGCCTTGGTGGTCTGCATTCGTTTCCTGTTGCTGCTGTAACAAATTATCATCAACTGGACAACTTAAAATGACACACATCGCCTGGCCGGCGTGGCTTGGTGGTTGAGCATCGACCCATGAACCAGGAGGTCACAGTTCGATTCCCGGTTCAGGGCATGTGCCCAGGTTGCGGGCTCAGTCCCCAGTGGGGGGCGTGCAGGAGGCAGCCAATCCATGATTCTCTCTCGTCATTGGTGTTTCTACCACTCTCTCCCTCTCCTTTCCTCTCTGAATCAATAAAAATATATTTAAAGAAATAATACACAATTATCTTATGGTGCTTGAGGACAGAAGTCCAAAACGGGCCCCACTGGGCTGCAGTCAGGATGTCAGCAGGGCTGTGCTCCCCCTGGAGCAGCGGTTCTCAACCTGTGGGCCGCGACCCCTTTGGCGGTCGAACGACCCTTTCACAGGGGTCGCCTAAGACCATCCTGCATATCAGATATTGACATGACGATTCATCACAGTAGAAACATTACAGTTATGAAGTAGCAACAAAAATAATTGTATGGTTGGGTCACAACATGAGGAACTGTATTTAAAGGGCCAGAAGGTTGAGAACCACTGCGGAGGCTTCAGGGGAGAATCCATTTCTCGGCCTTTTCTAGTTTCTAGAGAGGGCATGTGCGTCCACAGACTCAGGGCTCCTTTCTTTACCTTCTGAGCCATCCGTGATCAGCTGTGTTTTCCTTATGACCAGCTGAGTCTTTCTCTGACTTCTGCTTTTGTCATCTCTTCTCCTTTGCTGACTCTGACTCTCCCGCCTCCCTCTTTCACTTGGAAGAGCCCTTGTTATTACTTTAGGCCCGCCCAGATAATCCGGGAGACTCTCCCGCTCTCGACATCCTTAACGTGTTACCTCTACAAAGTCCTTTTTGCCACTTAAGGTCACATAGTCACAGGTTACAGGGATTAGAACAGTGATGGTGAACCTATGACACGCGTGTCAGAGGCGACACGCGAACTCATTTTTTGGGTTGATTTTTCTTTGTTAAATGGCATTTAAATATATAAAATAAATATCAAAAATATAAGTCTTTGTTCTACTATGGTTGCAAAGATCAAAAAATTTCTATATGTGACACGGCACCAGAGTTAAGTTAGGGTTTTTTAAAATGCTGACACGCCGAGCTCAAAAGGTTCGCCATCACTGGATTAGAATATGGACATCTCGGGGAGAGGGGGACGCATTGTTCTGTCTACCGCATGGTCTATAATGATCCAATCAGTCAGTCTGTTCAGCTCTCAATAGCACCCTCAGCTGCCGTTTAGAAGCTGAATCTTGATTCATACACACCAAACTTTTTTTAAAATATATTTTTATTGATTTCAGAGAGGAAGGGAGAGGGAGAGAGAGATAGAAACATCAATGATGAGAGAGAATCATTGATCGGCTGCCTCCTGCACACCCTCCACTGGGGATCGAGCCTGCAACCGGGGCATGTGCCCTTGACTGGAATCGAACCTGGGACCCTTCAGTGCGCAGGCCAATGCTCTATCCACTGAGCCACACCGGCTAGGGCCACGCCAAACTTTTGACTGCTTCTTGGTAGTTCCGTGGCTTAGTGGGTGTTGGCTGCTTGATTGGTTTTCCTTCGTCTTTCATGGAAACTCACCAGAGTCAGGCCCAACCAGGATAATTTTATGATCTTGGCCCCATGGATTCTGTTGCCCTGGTAATCTTGATTACAGATAATTGTAAGTCAGGTGGCCGATAGGGTCCCTGGAAGAGAGCTCTGTAAAATTCCCCATAAGGTCAAGAAAGGATGTAGGTATCTGATAACATTCATCCACTCAACAAATATTTCTTTTCTTTTTTTTTAAATTTTATTTTTATTTTTATTGATTTCAGAAAGGAAGGGAGAGGGAGAGAGAGATAGAAACATCAATGATGAGAGAGAATCATTGATCGGCTGCCTCCTGCACACCCCCTACTGGGGATCAAGCCCACAACCCGGGCATGTGCCCTTGACCGGAATCGAACCTGGGACCCTTCAGTCCGCAGGCCGACGCTCTAACCACTGAGCCAAACCAGCTAGGGTGCAACAAATATTTCTTGAGTGCCTGCTAAGTGCCAGGCACGGTTCTAGGTAGGTGTGGAGGACACAGCGGTGGACAAGACAAGGGCCCTGCTGTCCTGTAATTTATATTCTCCTGGAGAGACAGGTAATAAGCCAGGTGAAAGCTGAAGGAAGAATTTGTTCAGAAAAACTCACCCAGGATCCAGCACAGAAAGACGAAAAGATAGGAAATATGGAAGGGTGCTTAAGAGACACTGCAGATACAGTGAGTGTAAGTATATATCAAGTAAGAGCTTAAGAAGAAAGAGAGTGGGGACAGGGGTAATGTGTGACACCATAGGACCTGGTAATATTCTGGAACCAACGAAAGAACAAATCTACAGATTCAAGGATGTCTTAGAATCCAGAACAGGGAAAACTGGCAATGTAGAATTCTGTAATCAGTGACAATATCATTCACAGACCAGGGAGCAGAATAGACATGGTCTGGCGAAGGAAAACATAGAATGAGACAAGGGGTCTCGCCAAAGGCTTGCGTCTTGTATGACTCGACACGTGACTTCAACAGAACCTAGAGACGCTGTTTCTAAATGTTCACTCTCATTTCTTGAACCCATCACATCAGAGACTGATAACCATCCTTGAACTTGTACCAGTTCATAGTACCAGTCTGTATAGACATAAAAATATATTTGATAAAGTTCAGCATCTACATTTATGTTAAAAACTCTTGGAGAGCCGGGAATAAAAGGAAGTTCCCCAGATTTGAAAAAGGGCAATTATAAAACACCTACAGCAAACATCATATATATATATATATATATATATATATATATATATATATATATATATTAATATATTTTATTGATTTTTTACAGAGAGGAAGAGAGAGGGATAGAGAGTCAGAAACATTGATGAGAGAGAAACATCGATCAGCTGCCTCCTGCACATCTCCTACTGGGGATGTGCCCGCAACCCAGGTACATGCCCTTGACCGGAATCGAACCTGGGACCCTTCAGTCCACAGGCCGATGCTCTATCCACTGAGCCAAACCAGTTTCGGCGCAAACATCATATTTGATAGCGAAACTTACAAAAATTACTTTTGAGATCAGTAGCAACATAAGGATGTCCAAATAGCATGACTTCTATTTGACATTGTACTGGAGAATTTATCCAATGCCATATGGCAAGGAAAAGAAAAATAAAATAAAGATTGGAGATGAAGACATGAAGTTGTCATTATTTTAGATGGTATATTTGTATACATAGAAGATCCAAAAGAATCTAATGCTAACTTATAATTCACAAGGTATTTTAACAATGTGACTGTATACAAAATTAATATGCACAGTTAATGATATTTCCCTGTATTAGCGTATTAGCAGTCACTATCCTATTAATAAAAGGCTAATATGCAAATTGACAAAACGCCAAATGACCGGTCACTGGGGGCAGATGCTCAACGCAGCCTCTCCTGCCTCCATGGCAGCACTAAGGATGTCTGACTGATGGCAGGCTTAAGCCGAGGGCTCCTGGACTGTGAGAGGGCACAGGCCAGGCTGAGGGAACCCATCCCCCACCCCCATATTGCACAAATTTCATGCACTGGCCCTCTAGTTAGAAAATACAAGAGAAGAAAAGACATTTATAACAGCCAAAAGAAGTAGCTAAAAAGAAATCTAGCAAAAGTGTACAAAACTCCTATGGAGTAAATTATAAATGTTGTTGATACCAAAGAAGAATTTAATAAATGTAGAGCTATACCATATTCATGGATTGGAAGGGTTAGTGTTGTAAAAGGTCAGATCTCCAAATAGATTTATAGATTCAATGTAATCCCAGTCGAAGTACTCAAAGCTTTTTTTAAAAAATGTATGGGACTGACTAGCATCTCCTAAGCTTTATAGGGAAGTGCAATGAAACAGTAAGACTAAGATTGACTTAAAAGAAGAGCAATGTAGAAGGATTTGCTCTACCAGTTATCAAGATTTATTATACAATTCTTGTAATTGGTGCAGGGCAAATCCAATGGATCAGCAGGACAGGATAGAGATTCCTAAAAGAGACTTATGTGCACACTTGATATTTGACTCCAGGAAATGGGAAAAGGAGGATAGTGTGGGTACCCTCACACTCCAAACCCCTAAAACTAATTCCAGATGGGTCAAAGGTCTAAATGTGGGGAGGTGAGGGAGAACTTCTCAAGTTATAGAAATCTCTACTTATAAAAGAAAAGGTTGATATATCTCATAATTTTAAAGTTAATAACATCTGTCAAAAGAACCAAAAAGGGTGTGCAAAGTCAGTCTAGAAAATGGAGGTTATTGGCTACACATACAGCTGACAAGGGACTCGTATCAAAACCACATAAGGCACTGCTACAAATCATTAAAGAGTAAGCACAATTTCTTTTTAAAGAGATGCCAAAGAATTTGAGCTGACACAGCACACAATAAGGAACTCCAATGTCCAATAAATGTAGGAGTTACTCATCACTCATGAGTCATCAGAGAAAGGAAAAGGAGAATCGTGAGATACCATCAAACACTCATTGGATTTTCAAAAATCAGTGTCCGAAAATACCAAGTGCTGGGGGACAGTGGAAAGCAGTGGGAACTCTTACAAACGGTTGGTGAGAGTATACATTGTCATGTGTAGTTTGGAAAGTGTTCCTTCTATTATTTACTAGAGGCCCGGTGCATGAAATTCGTGCATGGGTACGGTCCCTAGCCTGCAGCCAGCCCCACCCCCCCACCCCCAGTTTCCCGTTCGCTGTCAGGTGATTGGAGCCTGCTGGCTGGGAACCGAGAGGTGAGCCGTCTGTCCGCTCACCAGCCCTGCCCCCGCCACGGGTTGCCCTCTGTGTGGGGGCCATTAGGGTCAATTTGCATATTACCCTTTTATTATGTAGGATTACATCAGAAGATAGACATGCCCTGAGGTCTAGGGTTGCATCCGCTCGGCACAGTCCCCAGAAGCGGTCTTTGGGATCCAGGAGGTTATAATTGGGCATCGCGTTCAGTTAACTTTGTAGAAGGATGGAGGACAGGAAGCAACAGCATCTTAGCATGAGAGCGTCGAACACATCTTTGCGGAGTGACCAGGGCTGCTGCTCAGCACCTCCAGGTGGCTGGTACTACATGAGTGGGCAGGTGTTGCCCACCCTGCCTGACTGGCTGAGGGAAGCTTCATACACAAGAGGAACCCTCTCTCTCTCTCTCTCTCTCTCTCTCTCTCTCTCTCTCTCCTCCTGTGTGTGTTTTAATCCTTACCCAAGGATATTTCCCATGGATTTTTTATAGAGAGTAGTAGGGAGGGAGAGACAGAGGGAGAGAAACATCGATGTGAGAGAGACACGTCGGTTGGTTACCTCCCACACATGCCCCAACCAGAGCCAGGATGGAGCCTGCACCTGAGGTATGTGCCCTTGACCGCAATTGAACCTGCCGCCCTCCAGGCCACGGGCCAATGCTGTGTCCACTGAGCCAGAAGGGCTTGGCGAGGAGCTACCCCTTGAGGGTAGCTTCCAAGCCCCACCAGGAGCATACTCAGTCCTAAGAAACACCCCGCAGAGAAATCAAGGTTTCTATTCAGTCTCCGTCACATAGGCCCGTGGGACCCATGGACCCACTCACAATCCTTTCCGGGGTCATTTTCATAGTGAACATTGCTGCCTGGGAACACAGCTAGCATTCCATATGTACCTTAATCCAGTTTGTTTCCATGGAAACAGTGGTTGGAAGAAAGTTTTAACCAAAGTCATGTTCCAATAGAAAGCAGGTTTGTCTGTCAGTGTTTTCTCCCAGCAACTGCACTTCTGAGATATATATCCGGGAACCAGGATTCATGTAAGAAAAGGTGGACAGAAGCATTATTCATGCAACCAGCTTCAAAGTGGAAATAACCAAATGTCCATCAATATTGAGTGAATACATACATCGAGGTATATGTGTATAATGAAATAGTATACAACAGCCAAAAAAATGAACGAGCCACAATTATACACAGCAACAAGGATGCATTTGACATGTGAAGGTGGCAAGCAGACGATATAGGTCAGTGGTTCTCAACCTCGGCTGCACATGAGAATCACCTGGGAATCTTTTTAAAATCCTGATTTCTGGGCCTCATCCTCCGGAAATTCTGTTTCTTTGTGATGGGGTGGGGCCGCAACGTTAGTAACAAAGAAACAGAATTTCCTGAGGACGAGGCCCAGGAATCAGGATTTTAAAAAGATTCCCAGGTGATTCTCATGTGCAGCCAAGGTTGAGAACCACTGATATAGGTAGCATTTTTTTCATTTACATAAAATTCAAAATCAGGCCAAATCAAACTTTTGATAAGACAAAAAAGAAAAGTTAAAAAAATGAATTTCACTTAAGGAAACAAAATAATGACCTCCCCCCTCCTCCCAAAGATGCCAACGTTCTAATCCCCGGAACCTGTGAGTGGCAAAACACTGCCGATGTGATTAAGGGTTTTGAAATGGGGAGAGCATCCTGGATTCCCTGGGTGGGTCCAATGCCGTCACACGAGACAAGCAGGGAGGACGTGACGATGGAGAGAGGAGGTGTAACAACAGAAGTCGAGGGTGGAGTGGTCACGAGCCCAGGGATCCCCGAGCTCAGGAACCCAGCCGCTAGCAGCTGGAAAAGGCCGGGAGCAAGTCCTCCCTCGGAGCCTCCAGAGGGAACACAGCCCAGCGGACACCTTATTTTCTAACCCAGTGAAACTGATCTCAGACTTCTGACCCCAGGCAGGGACTCGGCAGTACTTCCTTACAGCAGCAACAGGAACTGACACAGGCAAGAGAGGGGCACCGCTGTGAAGAGGAAGGTGGTAGTGATGAGAAGGGGACAGTTACAGTGTTGTCCTCGAATTCTTGACCTGGGTGGTGGCCCAAGGATGTTCACTTAAAAAAATTATATAAATACATACACATACATACTAGGGGCCCAGTGCACGAATTTGTGCACCTGGAAGGGAACTGTGGGCCACGGAGTGATTGGGGCCAGTGCCAGCAGCGGTTTCGAGCAGGGCTGGCACTGTCAGCGAGTGCCAGTGGCAGCTGCCGGTCCTGGTCACCCCTCAGGAGCAGGGGGAGGTGGAGAAGCCCTGAGGGGCAATTAGGGCCGGTGCTGGGCGTCGGCAGTGGGTGTGAGCGGGGCTGGCGCTGGCAGCCAGTGTGAGAGCTGGGTAGGACTGTGGCACCTGGGAGCAAAGAGCTTTCAGTAACCACCAGAGGCTTGCCCTGATGACAGCGACCCGTGTCCCGCCTTGGTCTGGCGCCCCCACTCACGGCTCCACCATCTTGCGGCAGCCAATGCCTGCCATGTTCCGTGCTCTGCCACCTACTGCCGATGCCTGCCATGTTCTGTGCACGCCCCCTGGTGGTCAGCGCATGTCATAGCGATTCCTTGTTTGGTTTCACGCATACAGAAGGCCAAGAGGCATATGACAACATGCTCAAAATCACCCATCATTCCAGAGATGCAAATCAAAACCACAATGAGATACCACCTCACACCTGTCGGAATGGATATCATCAACAAATCAACAAACGACAAGTACTGGAGTGGATGCGGAGAAAAAGGAACCCTCTTGCACTGCTGGTGGGAATGCAGACTGGTGCAGCCACTGTGGAAGACAGTATGGAGAGAGAAACATCAATGATGAGAGAGAATCATCAATCGGCTGCCTCCCCCATCCCCTCTCTGGGGATCCAGCTTGCAACCTAGGCATGCGCCCTTGACCGGCACTGAACCCGGGACCCCCTCAGTCCGCAGGCCAATGCTCTATCCACTGAGCCAAACCAGCCAGGGCCAAATGTCTCCTTCCTATGAAGGCACCAGTCCTATTGGATGAGGCCCACCCTCAGGACCTCGTTTTAGCTCGAGGTCCTGCGAGGTCACGGTCTGAAGTCTTGGGGATTAGCTCTTCAACACATAGATTCTGTGGGACACAGGCCACCTATACTAGCGCACAGCCTTAAGCAAGTCACGAGTTTGTGTCGTCCGGCAAGCTTCGTTGAGCACCTATTCCGTGTCAGGCAAAAAAAAAAAAAAGACAAAGGTTGGCCCTCCTGGAGCTTCCAGCTTAGCTGGGAGACAGCACACCCCACGTCAGTGAGGATGAACAGGGCAACGAGAGCAGCAGGGAAGCCGGGATCAGCACAACAGATCTGGGACTCCAATGGCTGCAGGGCTGGCTCTCGCCACCTCGGCCTCTCGTCTCCACTCCGTCTACTGGCCTCACTGCCCCAGGATGCTCGGTGCGGCGGGGGCTGTGACAGCCCAAGTCCCGGGGGCCTTCCCCCCCAGCTCACGGGTTTTCCCCAAATCCAGGGAAAGGGTGCAGGCTGGCTCCGCCTGGGTCCCATGTCCTCCTGGCGGCCAGTCACTGTGACTGTGCAGGGCTGGGTGGGTCCTGGGCCGGCAGGGTGGCCTGTTGTGGTTGGAAGCCAGATCCACGTGGAAGGTGGGGGGCTGTCTGCAGAAGGGTAGAGCTGGGGGGAGGGGCTGGGGCCCCCAGGGTGGCAGGTGCCAGCCCCATGCAGCCACTCAGCTCCCACGCGCCTCCTTCCTTGGTCTCGCGGCCTCTCCCACATCCAGCCCACACCCAGGCACCACCCTCCTTCCTCCAGATCCAGGAGTGGGAGGCCCGGCTCTCTGCCTGCGGTAAGGATCCCAGGGCCCCAGGGGTCGTCATGGACCAGAAGGCCAAGACCCGGAAAAGGATCAAGATCGTGGAAAGCCAGCTGGACAGGGTGAGGGCCAGCCTCCTGGCTCTTTCCAGGCCTGACCTCTGGGGTTGGGGGAAGAATGAGCATGGGGTCAAGTTCTGGAAATGGCCAGCGGCGGCGGGGGGTGTGTGTGGGGGGGAGGAGGTAAGGAGGCCACACAGAGGCCTGCATGCGGGAAGGCCTGGGTGCTGGGCTCCCTGCGGGGTCAGGAGACAGGATCCTGGAGGGTGGGGTGTCCCTGGGGAAAGGAGACTGATGCTTGGGCTCTGCCGGTGGGGCGGGCCGATGCTCTCAGGACCCCCACATGGAGGAGGGTCTCAGACCCTGGCACCCTGTCCCACACCTGCCCCCCCCCCCCCCCAGGTCACCTGTCACTTCGACATCCATCTGGTTCGGAACGCAGCCCTGCGGGAGGAGCTGGATCTGCTGCTGGTGCAGAGGAACCACTATCTGAACATAGACCGAAAGCTGCACAAGGTCAGTGGCCCCCGACCGAGCACCCCGGCCCGGCCCTGCGGGGGGGGAGGAGAGGAGGCGAGGAGGAGGGTCACCTGCTTGTTGCCCGCACTCGGGCCTCGGATACGCAATGGACGAAGCCATAGGTTTACTTTCGTTCAGAGGGAATGGAGACCCGGAAAGTGCTCCCGGACGCCTTTAACGAGAAGGCAGAGATGTCGTTTTGACTCTTACCACCCAGGGCAACCACGGAGCCAGCCCAGCCATTTTCATCCCCTGGGTTTCTCAATAGCCCTCCCTCCACCCTCCCTTTCCTGCAAGAATAGGACAAAGAACTACATCTCCTTCACCAAGACCCACCATTTGCCGCATTTATTCGGTGTAATTATTTTTTTTAAATATATTTTATTGATTTTTTACAGAGAGGAAGGGAGAGAGATAGAGAGTTAGAAACATCAATGAGAGAGAAACATCGATCAGCCGCCTCCTGCACATCTCCTACTGGGGATGTGCCCGCAACCCAGGTACATGCCCTTGACCGAAATCGAACCTGGGACCCTTCAGTCCGCAGGCCGATGCTTTATCCACTGAGCCAAACCGGTTTCGGCCAGGTGTAATTATTATCTCGACTGAAAATAGCTTATTTCTATATTGGCTAAACTACTTGCGGGCACACAGCAGACACGGTGTCTCTGAGAAATTCAGTGTGAATTTCCTAAAAACAAGATCATTTCTTCCCCCTCCCCCACCCCTTTATCCTCACCCAGGGATATGTTTCTATTGATTTTGACAGAGAGAGGAAGGAAGAGAGAGAGAGAGAAACATTGATCAGTTGCCTCTCATATGCACCCCAACCAGGGATCGAACCCGAAACCTTTTTGGTGTATGGGATGATGCTCTAACCAACTGAGCCTCCTGGCTGGGGCTTTTTGTCTTTTTTGTGGTTACTAGAGGCCCGGTGCATGGATTCGTGCACTGGTGAGGTCCTCAGCCTGGCCTGCGCCCTCTTGCAATCCAGGACCCCTCAGGAAATGTTGGATAGCCGGTTTCGGCCCGATCCCCACAGGCCCGATCCAGACAGGAGGGAGCCTGATCCTGCGCGTTGAGCACCTGTCCCCTGGTGGTCAGTGCATGTCCTAACCACCGGTCAGCTGGTTGTTCGGCTGATCGGTTGCTTAGGCTTTTATACATATAGGTGCTCTTTGTTTGAAATACAGTTAGGTTCATTTGCTTCAGCTGTGTCCAGTTTTAGGTTGTATCTGTCCCCTCTCATTGTTGGTTTAATTTCTCTGTGAGTCTGTAGAGCAGTAACTGGGTTCCCAAATCCAAACCACTCCAACAGGCATCCCAGGCCCAAACCGTTTCCTCCCCAGCTCTGCCCCGTCCCCACCCAGACCCTGTGGTCTCCGGCTATCCATCTGGGTTTCTTTTTGCAAAAGTAAATGCATGTGCGTGTATATGTATATAATGTATATGTGTGCAGTATGTATGTGGTTATGTATGTGTGTGGTTATGTTTGTGCATTTTTATTATTTAAAGCATACTTTACTGATTTTTAGAGAGACAGGAAGGGAGAGAGAGAAACATGGATGTGAGAGCGCAACATGGATCGGCTGCCTCCTGCACACCCCCCACCGGGTTCGAGCCCGCAACCCCGGCACGTGCCCTGACCAGGAATCCAACCTGCACCTTTAGGTGCACGGGACGACACCCAGCCAATGAGCCACAACGGCCAGGGCTCTCTGTGTCTTATTAGTCCACACATGATACACTGTGCACATGCACATGCATGTATGCATATGTGTGTCTATGTATATTGCATGTGCATGAATACATAGACACAGTGTACAGGTGTAAAAATATATCGTTTCCTCCCTTCTTTCTCCCGAAAGAGCCCTTTTTGCTCATAAACTGCAAAGACATTTCTATGGAAGCAGAAAACGGACGAGTTTGGTCACAAGGATGACAGTCACACACGCAAATGCCTGAACCCCAGCAGCGGAGGGAGGTCGGGGCGCTCAGGCATCCTCCGGCTGGGGGGGGAGGGCGGGGGGCGGTCAGCCCAGCCGCTCATCCCGTGGCTTCCCGCCGCCTCCGTCCCGAAGATCCCCGCCCGCGGCCGCTCATGGGGAAGCTCCGTGCGCTCAGGCGCGGGGCCCCGCTTCTCCGGGAAACGCGGGCGCTGAGACCCTCTGCTCCCCTCCCGCAGGAGATGCATCTCCTGCGGCGCACAATCAACGGGCTCACCGTGTCCTCCATCTCCGCCTACTCCGTCAGGTAGGCCGCCGGCGTCCGGGAGGGGCTCCGGCAGGGGAAGGGGCGTGGGGGCGGTTCTGACCCCCGGAAACGGACCATCAGAACCGACACTGTTTTCCATAAGGCGGCCCATCCTCCGCGCGCCTCTCCCCGCGGCCTCGGGCGATGTCCCGCTCCTGGCGGGTAGGGTTCACCTCTTCGCCCCCGTCTGTTCCTGGCTCGTGGCTGGGAGGGGCCTCGAGAGAATGACTTGAGGCTGCACGTAGCACCCGCTGCACGGGGCCTGGACGGCCCGGCATCGGCAAACGGGAGTCATTCTTTTTTTATTTTTTATTTTTATTTATTTTTATTTTTTTATTTTTTATTTTTTAATTATTATTTTTTTAATTAAATCTTTATCGTTCAGATTATTACATTTGTTCCTCTTTTTTTCCCCCCATAACTCCCCTCCTCCCAGCTCCCGCCCCACCCTCCGCCCTCACTCCCCACCCACTGTCCTCATCCATAGGTGCACGATTTTTGTCCAGTCTCTTCCCGCATCTCCCACACCCCTTTCCCCCCCAAGAATAGTCAGTCCATTCCCTTTCTATGTCCCTGATTCTATTATGATCACCAGATTATTTATTCACTTGATTCTTAGATTCACTTGTTGATAGATGCATATTTGTTGTTCATAATTTGTATCTTTACCTTTTTTTTTTTTCTTCTTCCTCTTCTTAAAGGATACCTTTCAGCATTTCATATAATACTGGTTTGGTGGTGATGAACTCCTTTAGCTTTTCCTTATCTGTGAAGCTCTTTATCTGACCTTCCGTTCTGAATGTTAGCTTTGCTGGATAAAGTAATCTTGGTTGTAGGTTCTTGGCATTCATCACTTTGAATATTTCTTGCCACTCCCTTCTGGCCTGCAAAGTTTCTGTTGAGAAATCAGCTGACAGTCGTATGGGTATTCCCTTGTAGGTAACTGGGTTTCTTCCTCTTGCTGCTTTTAAGATTCTCTCTTTGTCTTTTGCTCTTGGCATTTTAATTATGATGTGTCTTGGTGTGGTCCTCTTTGGATTCCTTTTGTTTGGGGTTCTCTGCACTTCCTGGACCTGTAGGTCTATTTCTTTCACCAGGTGGGGGAAGTTTTCTGTCATTATTTCTTTAAATAGGTTTTCAATATCTTGCTCTCTCTCATCCTCTGGCACCCCTATAATTCTGATGTTGGTGCGCTTGAAGTTGTCCCAGAGGCTCCTTATACTATCTTCATATTTTCGGATTCTTTTTTCATTTTGCTTTTCCAGCTGGGTGTTTTTTGCTTCTTCGCATTTCGAATCTTTGACTTGATTCTTGCGCTCCTCTGGTCTGCTGTTGGGTGTCTGTATAATATTCTTTATTTCAGTCAGTGTATGCTTAATTTCTAGTTGGTTCTTTATCACAACATCGAGGGTCTCATTAGATTTCTTGAGGATCTCACAACAATTATCGGCGGTCTCACCAGTCTTTTCAAGGGCCTTACTAAGTTTATCGGCAGCTTCTAGACAGTTCTTAAGAGACCTTAAAAGTGTGGTTCTGAACTCAATATCCTCCATTGACAGTTTTGTCCTGTTTCTTTGTCTCCGCATTTTTTATGCTTTCTTGGTGCACCCCCTAGTGGTCTTTGTCCGCAGTCTTGTTGCCTTTAAGCCTTGATTGATGTCGGCAATACCGGGGTGATTTGACCTCCAGGCTAACTGGCTATGAGAGTCTGCTGTGTCTGTAGTGGGAGGGCTTCTGTGCTGGATCTCTAGGGCGGTGCTAATCTAGCGTTTGCCTGAGGCTATCGGGCAAATGGCGCTGCGCAGGGCTTGGGCGGGGCGGGTCCCCGGGGATCTACAGGGTGGGCGGAACGAGCAGTTATGGCGACTCTCAGTTCCTTCCCCAGGGGCTCTGCCTCTCAGAGCCCCAGCAATGGCTGCAAACCTCGGAGAGAAAGCTGCCTTCGCGTTCCGACCGAAGCCAGACAGTCCCGTTTCTCCCGTTTGAGTCTTGGTCCCCAGAGACTCGCCCGGATCTGGAGCTCAGAGTCTGAAACTCCCTCCCGATTGAAAACAACAACCGCGCCCTCCGCCGCCAGCCCGCTCTGTGCGCACTCCGCACCTGAGTATTTCACTTCAGCACTGCGCCTCCTCTGAGTCTGGGTATGATATTCTCTTTCCTCCTAGTTGTAGAATTTCCACTCAGCCAGCCTTCCCGTGGTTCTGGGTGATGTCCGTTCTGTCCTTTAGTTATATCTCTGAAGTGGTTGTTTGAGGCAGCGATCTCCGGCGTTAACCTATGCCGCCATCTTGGTTTCTCCACACATTCTTCGGCGAACGGGAGTCATTCTATCGGTTGACAGGCACAGTGTCCCTCAGGCCACCCTCAGGCCTGGAGAGCCTGGCGCTCTGCACATCGGCTTGTGTGTGTGTCTCGGCGACTCTCGTGGGCTCCCGCTCCCTCTCCCTCGGCCCTGCTCCTTCTGAGCCTGGCCCGGGGGTCCCGCGTCTTCTCAGGATCCCGTTTCTACCCAGTGACTTCCGCTTGCTCCTGGTTCATGATCCCTCCTGCCATGGGCTGGAGCCCACGTCTATCCTGTGGTTTCTGGGATGTGTCAGGAGGCTCAAACAAACTTGCCCGTTTTAGTTGTTTATTTTAAATGTATCTTTATTGGTTTCAGAGAGGAAGGGGGAAAGAGAGAGAGAGAGAGAGAGAGAGAGAGAGAGAAACATCAATGAGAGAGAATCATCCATGGGCTGCCTCCTGCACGCCCCCTACTGGGGATCGAGCCTGCAACCCGGGCATGTGTTCCCCTGGTCGGAGCCAATCAAACCTGAGACCCTTTCGTCCGCAGGCCGACGCTCTATCCACTGAGCCAAACCGGTTAGGGTGGACATGACCTTTTTAAATTTATTTTTATTTTTATTTTATTTTTATTCATTTATTTATTTTTTTATACTCTTTTTTTAATTTTTATTTTTTTATTGCTTAAGTATTACAAAGGGTATTACATATGTGTCCTTTTTCCCCCCCGCCCTTGACAGTCCCCTAGCCTCCCCTATCCCCCAGTGTCTTATGTCCATTGGTTATGCTTATATGCATGCATACAAGTCCTTTGGTTGATCTCTTACCCCCCTCCCTCCTGCCCCCCAACCCTCCCTATTTTTTTTTATTTTTATTTTTTATTTATTTTTTATTGCTTAAAGTATTACAAAGAGTATTACATATGTCTCCTTTTTTCCCCTCCCTATTTTTTATTTTATTTATTTTTTATTTTTTTTAAAAATTTTTTATTGATTTTTTTACAGAAAGGCAGGAGAGGGATAGAGAGTTAGAAACATGGATGAGAGAGAAACATCGATCGGCTGCCTCCTGCACACCCCCTATTGGGGATGTGCCCGCAGCCAAGGTACATGCCCTTGACTGGAATCAAACCTGGGACTCTTCGGTCCGCAGGCTGATGCTCTATCCACTGAGCCAAACCTGTTAGGGCTATTTTTTAATTACCTTTATTGTTGAAAGTATTACAGATGTGCCCCCTACTTCCCCCACTGACCCCCTCCACCCGGCTCCCGTCCCCTCCCCAGGCCTTCACTGCACTATTGTCTGTGTCCCTGGGCTATGTATATGTGCATATAAGTTCTTTGGTTGATCTCTCTTTTTTAATATATATTTTTTATTGATTTCAGAGAAGAAGGGAGAGGGAGAGAGAGAGAGAAACATCAATGATGAGAGAGAATCATTGATCAGGTGCCTCCAGCACGCCCCACACACTGGGGATTAAGCCTGCAACCTGGGCATGTGCCCTGATCGGGAATCGAACCGTGACCTCCTGGTTGGTGGACACTCCACCACTGAGCTCTTTGGTTAGTCTCTTCCTGCCTCCCACCCCTTCCCGCTGAGATTGGTGGGTCTGGTACATGCTTCAATGTCTCTGGATTTATTTTGTTAGTTTATTTTGTTCATTAGTTTCCACATATAAGTGAGATCATGGATACTTGTCTTTCTCCGGCTTATTTTACTAAGTATAATACTCTCCAGGTCCCTGCACGCTGTCTCAAAGGGTAAGAGATCCTTCTTTTTTTACTGCTGCATAGTATTCCATGGTGTAGATGTACCACAGCTTTTTTATCCACCCATCTGCTGATGGGCACTTGGGCTGTTTCCAGATCTTAGCGATTGTAAATTGTGCTGCTATGAACATACCAGTGGTGGTGCGTACATTCTTTCTGATTGGTGTTTTGGGATTTTTAGCATATATTCCTAGAAGTGGGATCACTGGGTCAAAGGGCGGTTCCATTTTTAATTTTTTGAGGAAACTCCATACTGTCTTCCACAGTGGCCTCACCAGTCTGCACTCCCACCAGCAGTGCATGAGGGTTCCCTTTTCTCCGCATCCTCGCCAGCACTTGTCGTTTGTTGGTTTGTTGATGGTAGCCATTCTGACCGTGTGAGATGGTATCTCTCTGTCATTTTCGAGTGCATCTCGGTGATGATTCGTGCCCTTGAGCATTCTTTCATATGTCTCTTGGCCATTTCCCGTCCTCTTTGGGGACATGTCTATTTTGGTCTTTTGCCCATTTTTTAACTGGGACTGTGTGTCGTCTTTTCGTTAAGTTGTATCAGTTCTCTACATAGTCTGGAGATTGACCCTTTATCAGACGTGTCATTGGCAAATATGTGGAACGTGATCTGTGGCTCCTCTCCCTACATCCTTCTCCTTTCAGCTTCTGGTCCCATTCTGAGCATTTCCCAATGACCTTCCCGAGGGAGAGAGTGTGACTGTCCAGCTCATCTTTCCCGTGGGCCCACAGGTGATGCCTGCTGGCCCGTCTGAGCACGGCCAGGACCCAGGCTCCACCACACTCCCCAATGATTGCCGTGGGCAGCCCCGCTGGGTCAAGGGCCCGGAGGTTTCAGATGGAAGGCGGGCGGGTGTCATCACCGACACGTCCTGTTGGAGAGGCAGTGTGTTCACTGCTTCCTCACCTGGTGGCCTGGGCCAGTCACTTCCCTCCCTGAGCCTCCCCTGGGACATGGCAGTTATGATGGTGTCTGCCTCACGGGCCCTGCAGAGCACCCCCTGCAGGGCCTGGATCTCAGGTGGTGGGTTCCCTCTCCCTGCCTCTCGTTGGCATGGAGCCCAAGGCACAGAAAGAGCTGAGTCCTGAGCCCCGAGGCGCTGCCACCAGAGGCAAAAGGGGCCACCGGGCTGGGGGTGGGGGTGCCCTGGAGGCTTCCCACGGAGGGGTGACCCAAATACGCCTTCACGGACTTTGAACAGAGCAGGAAGCTGGTGCTCACAGGTTGAGAACCGCTGGTCTAGAAGCTACGTCCTGGCCGGGTAGCTCAGTTGGTTAGAGCCTCGTCCGGATACACCAAGGTTGTGGGTTGGACCTCCAGTCAGGGCATGTGCAAGAAGCAGCCAATGAACGCATAAATAAGTAGAACAAATCAACGTTTCTCTCTCTCAAATAAATAAATAGATTTTTGTTTTATTTTTTTAATATATTTTTATTGATTTCAGAGAGGAAGGGAGGAGATAGAGATAGAAACATCAATGATGAGAGAGAATCATTGACCGCCTGCCTCCTGCACACCTCCTACTGGGGATGGAGCTCTCAACTGGGGCATGTGCCTTTGACCAGAATCGAACCTGGGACCCTTCAGCCCGCAGGCCGATGCTCTATCCACTGAGCCAGACCAGCCAGGGCTGAATAAATACATTTTTAAAAAGCAGCTCAGAAGCTACATTTTCAGATGTGCAGCCAGGGGAGGCCCAGTGAGTGAGGCTTCTAGGGTCCCCAGAGTCCTAACAGGGTGTGTGCACAAGTGCTGGTGACATCGCCTACCTGTCCAACCTGAGGTCCTGGGTGGCCCCAGCCCCTTATATTTCCAACCACACGCCCCCCCCCACCCCCACACTCCAGCACGCTAACCTCATCACCTGGCTGTCCCCTTCGTGGCCGGAGTGTCTTAACTGTGCCAACCTGCCCCCTCCCTTCTTCATCTCCCCCCCCCCCCCCCAGTTCCAGGCGCCACCCCGCAATAACGCCCGCCTCCTGGTGCCCCTGCGCACTGTTAGCCAGAGAGGAGGTTCAGGCTGAAATAAAGAACAGGAAACTCTTATTTGAGCAAAAGGATTACAATCAGGGAGCAACTCAGTGGCTCTGGAGAGAACAGAGAAGGGCAGGTTCATACCTGAAGGCAGAAGCCGCACAGCGTCATTCTCTGACGCAGGGGAGGCGGGCGGCTGGGCTCACCGCGCTCGGAAGGGAGGAGGCCGAGTCCATGTGCCGGGCAGTCCGCGCAGCAGCTGGTGGCCAGGACGGTTATGGCTCCGGGCTAAGGCTCGGCCTCGGACTGCGCGTAGCAACAGGTTTAGCAGCTTCATAGCAGCTCTGTGGACGGAGGCGGATGCGCCCCCGCCCCGCTCCCTAATAGCCTCAGAGCTCACGTCAGTGGCTCCCTGAGCAACGCCTGTTCCATTTCACTGTTTCCATGATCAGCTTGTGGGCAAGGCCGTCAGCCCCCTACCAGGCCCAGCACCCCCCCTCCCCCCGCCAGGCCCTGACTCCTGACCCACCTCGAGAACCTAGAAAATGTTCTGTCTTTTGTCACCTCAGGGTAACAGCAGACTAATGCTACCCCATCCCTGGGACTCCAGGCTGACCCCGCCCATCCACCCCCCAACCCCAGACTGCGCCCGCCCACCCACCCACCCCTGGGACCCCACACTGATTCTAATCCAACCTCCATCTCCCGACCCGACCCCGACGGGCCTGCCCAGGGAGGAGGCGAAGACCAAGATGAGCTTGCTGCGGGAGCGGGCCGACAAGGAGGGCGCCCAGAACGAGACGGACGTGCAGATCTTGCAGCGGCAGATAGCGCACCTGGACCATCTGCACCGCTTCCTCCAGTTCAAGAACCACGACCGGCAGCCGGATCCCGTCGTCCTGGAGAAGCGCGAGAAACGCGGTGAGGCCGGCCGCCCCCTCTGCACCCCACCGGCCGGCCGGGGCCGCGGAGAGGGGCGAGCGCCCGTCTCCAGGTCTCAGGGCGCACGGCCGGGGCCCGCCTGCAGGGGGCGCTGGGGCGCGCAGAGGCCTAGCGGCCCTGCCCTCGTAGCCAGCAGGGCAGGGGCCTGGGCTCCTCTTCCAGGGGTCGTAGGGGCGGGTGGCCGCCCCGGGGCACCCACCTCACTGCCCCCCTGCCCCCAGCCCGGGAGGTGGCCGAGGGCCTCCGGAAGACCTCGCAGGAGAAGCTGGTGTTGCGGTACGAGGACACCCTGAATAAACTGGCCCAGCTGACCGGGGAGAGCGACCCGGAGCTGCTGGTGAAGAAGTACCTGGATAGTGAGTGTCTGCGCCCGCCCCGCCCCGCCCAGGTCCCCGAGGGCCTAGGGACCCTCCGCCTGCGGGGAGGAGCGGGCGGTTCCGCACCCCGCCCCCCTTCCTGGGGCGCCTCTGCGCCTTCCCGTCTCTCTCCTCTTGCTTCTGTCTGTCTGCCTCTCCTCTGCATCTCTCTGTCCCCTCCGAGTGTCTGTATCGCTGTCTTTCTTGTTTTGTTTTGTTTTAAATATATTTTCATTGATTTCAGAGAGGAAGGGAGAGGGGGAGAGAGAGAAACATCCATGATGAGAGAGAATCATGGATCAGCTGCCTCCTGCACATCCCCTGCTGGGGAGGGAGCCCGCAGCCCGGGCCTGTGCCCTGGACCGGAATCGAACCGGGAACCTGGACGCTCGCTCTATCCACTGCGCCAAACCAGTAGGGCTGTTTCGCTGTCCTTTTGTGTCCGTGGCGTTTCTCTGGGGTTGCCTGCCTCCCGCCTCCCCCACGCCCCCTCCCTTCCTCTCTCCTCCCTGCTCCTGGGCATCGCTCTCCGAATCGTCCCCTCCCCCGGCGTCTCCCCGTGTGCCCGCTGCTGTGTCTCCCGCCGCTACTGTTTTCTCTCCCTCACTTCTGTGTGTCCGTGCCTCTCGGTCTCTCCGGGTCTTTCCGTTTGCTTCTCGGTGTCCCGGTTCTCTGGGTGTCTCTCCGTCTGTGTCTCCCCGCCTGGCCTCCGCGCCGTCTCTCTCAGCCCCTCCCTCCCCGTCCCGTGCGCCTCTCTCCGCTTCTGGTTTGGTCTCTTCCGCGCGTCCCTGACTCCGTCTCCTGGCCCCGCCTTCCCCGCTCAGCCGAGGAGCGCAACTTCGCGGAGTTCAACTTCATCAACGAGCAGAACTCGGAGCTGGAGCGTCTTCGGGAGGAGATCACCGAGGTGAGTGAGCCCCGCGCGTCCCGAGTCCTTGCCCCTGGCCTCGGCACCGACCGCCTCCTCCGCGGGCAGCCCCTCCGCCGCAGGCAGCCGGGCCCAGCCTCGCCCTCGCCCCGCAGATGAAGGAGGCCATGAAGAAGGCGCGCTATGGCGACGCTGCCCGCCTGTCGCTGAAGGAGGAGCACGAGGCTTCGGTGCAGCAGCAGATAGGAGAGGTGCGCAACGAGGCCGACAGCCTGGAGGCCCGCGCCCAGACGCTGAGGGAGCAGGTGGAGAACTTCAAGGCAGGTGAGCACCTGCCCCGCCTCTTCATCTGGGCGGATGCGATGAGCACGCGGAGGGCCAGGCCTCTGCTGGCCATTTGGAGATTTCCGGGAGTTACTTTGTGCACTCACTCATTCACCGCATATCCGTCATCCATCCATCCATGCACCCGGTATCCCGGTATTCATCCATCCATTCATTCATCCCTCTAGTATTGATCCATCCACCTATCCATCCATCCATCTAGTATCCATCCATCCATCCATCCATCCATGCACCCAGTATTCATCCATCCATCCATCCATCCATCCATGCACCCAGTATTCATCCATCCATCCATCCATCCATTCATGCACCCAGTACTGATCCATCCATCCACCCATCCATCTAATATCCATCCAGTATTCATCCATCCACCCATCTAGTATTTACTTATCTATCCATCCAGTATTCCTCTATCCACCCATCCATCCCTCTAGTATTGATCCATCCATCTATCTATCCATCCATCCCTCTAGTATTGATTCATCTATCCATCCATCCATCTAGTATCCATCCATCCATCCATCCATCCAGTATTCATCCATCCATTCATTCATCCCTCTAGTATTTTTTTTTTTTAAATATATTTTATTGATTTTTCACAGAGAGGAAGGGAGAGAGACAGAGAGTTAGAAACATCGATGAGAGAGAAACATCGACCAGCTGCCTCCTGCACATCTCCCACTGGGGATATGCCCGCAACCCAGGCACATGCCCCTGACCGGAATCGAACCCGGGACCCCTCAGTCCGCAGGCCGATGCTCCATCCACTGAGCCAAACCGGTTTTGGCGCCATCCCTCTAGTATTGATCCATCCATCCATCCATTCATGCACCCAGTATTGATCCATCCATCCACCCATCCATGTAGTATCCATCCATCCAGTATTCATCCATCCATCCATCTAGTATTTACTCATCTATCCATCCAGTATCCATCTATCCATCCATCCATCCATCTATCCCTCTAGTATTGATCCATCTATCCATCCATCCATCCATCTAATATTCATCTATCCATCCATCCATCCATCCCTCTAGTATCCATCCATCTATCCATCCATCCATCCATCTAGTATCCATCCATCCATCCATCCATCCATCCATCCATCCAATATCCATCCATCCATCCGCTACTCATCCTTCCAGTCTAGAGCACTCAAGAGCAGGCTGCCCTGGCTTTGAATCCCAGCTCCACCATTTGTGGGCCTTGGTGTGTGGCTTCCTCTGTGGGATCCTTTCTGGAAACACAATGCTGCGCCTTTGTAGGGTGGCCACGAGAATTAGATGGGGTGACGGATGGAAAGCTGAAGGTGGAGGGAGGCAGAAAGGTGGCAGTGGTGACGGGGAGCAAGCAGGAAGGCCACCCCCTGGCGCGCAGTAGGAGCCTAAGTAGTGGCAGACCCGCGTGTCCTGTGCGGAGCGATGAGACCTGCTGGGAGTGTGGGCGGAGCCTGACACGGACACCCCGGGCACATGGAAGCAGGCGTGGGCGGAACTCAGTGTGGAGCATGGGGCCATCATTCGGGGGGCCCAGCGCAGAATAAAACTGTGGGGCCCCTTGTTTAAAATTTGCCAAGGATTTCAAGGTGGCAACAGGGGAGCATCAGACCCGGTGCAGGGCCTTCTGAGCAGAGGGCCCCACGCCACGGCTCAGGGGGCACACCCAGGCCACGGCTCTGTGGGTGCAGGGCAGGCCCCCCGGAAGCAGTGATGCTTGGGGCCGACCTGGAAGGATGATCATTTAACTGAAAAGCCAGGAGCGGATGCTCCCCACAGGTGGGCAGGGCCTAGAGGTGCCTTCGTGGCTCAGCGTCCTCAGTGCAGAGGGGGGAATGCAGAGTGCGGGTGGGGGCGGACGAGGGCCTGGGCCTGAAGGGATGCCAGGCTGAGGCGCTTCTTGGGGGTGCTGGGGAGCCGTGGAGAGTTGTGAGCAGGAGAGGGGGTGCATAGGGAGGCTAGGGGAGGAGAGTGAGGAGGAGGGGCGCAGGTATGAGATTGAAGGGCCATGGGGATAAGGGACAGGGGCACTGGGGCTGGCCTGGTGAGCTGGGGAGCCGGGGAGAAGGAGTGTGATGGGGAGGACCCTGAGCTCAGTGTGGGCTGGGGGTGCTCAGGGAGGGATCCCAGGGGGGAGCTGTCTGCATGAGCCTGGTTCGGGGCGAGGAGGTGCAGGGATGGCTGGTGGGGGTGCCGGACGGTTGGGTGCAGACTTTTTAAAGACCCTCACCCGAGGATCTTAGGGGTTTTGTTGTTGTTTTTCAATTGATTATTAGAGAGAGAGGAGCATCGATTGGTTGCCTCTCACACACACCCTGACCAGGGATCAGACTGTAACCTTTTATTTATTTTTATTTTGTAAATATATTTTTATTGATTTCAGAGAGAAAGGAAGAGGGAGAGAGAGATAGAAACATCCATGATGAGAGAGAATCATTGATCGGCTGCCTCCTGCAAGTCCCCGACTGGGGATCGAGCCCACAACCCTGGCATGTGCCCTTGACCGGAATCGAACCTGGGACCTTTCAGTTCGCAGGCCGACGCTCTAGCCACTGAGCCAAACTGGCTAGGGCCAAACTGCAACCTTTTATTTTTTTTATTATTATTTTTTTAAAAAGATATATTTTATTGATTTTTTATAGAGAGAAAGGGAGAGGGATAGAGAGTCAGAAACATTGATCAGTTGCTTCCTGCACACTCCCCACTGGGGATGTGCCCACAACCAAGGTACATGCCCTTGACCGGAATAGAACCTGCGACCCTTGAGTCCGCAGGCCGCCGCTCTATCCACTGAGCCAAACCGGTTAGGGCACAAACTGCAACCTTTTAAAAAATAGGATTGCCCTGACCAGTTTGGCTCAGTGGATGGAGCGTCGGCCTGCGGACTCAAAGGTCCCAGGTTCGATTCCAGTCAGGGCATGTACCTTGGTTGCGGGCACATCCCCAGTGGGGGGTGTGCAGGAGGCAGCTGATAGACGTTTCTCTCTCATCGATGTTTCTAACTCTCTATCCCTCTCCCTTCCTCTCTGTGAAAAAATCAATAAAATTATATATATAAAGGATCTCAGAGGGGAAAAGGGAGAGAGAGAAAGGTAGAAACATCAATGATGAGAGAGAATCATTGATCGGCTGCCTCCTGCACGCCCCCCACTGGGAATCGAGCCCCCAACCCCAGGCCTGTGCCCTGACCAGGGACCAAACCATAACCTGCTGGTTCATAGGTCGAAGCTCAACCACTGAGCCACGCCGCCGGGCTCTCACGGCTCCTGTGGTGGATGGGACGGTGCTCTAACCCACGGAGCCGGCGGCCAGGGCAGGTGCAGATTTTGCCCCGGCTGCCGTGCCTTCATTAGCAGCAGCAGCGAACTCACTGAACCTAGCAAGCCAGGCCGGCCAGTCCTCTGAGGGGCTCATGACCATGGCACCTGGATATGAAAACAAAGCCAGCCCGCCTGCGGGTGTTTCTGGGGGAGGGGCCGGAGCTGGGGAATCAGAACCGGATGAGGGCTCGGCCCATCGGCTGGGCTGTGTGGGGCCTCCCAGGGGAGGGGCCTTCAGCTTGTCCCGCCCCCTCACTGCCTGCCTTCCCTTGTCCCCAGCCCTGTGCCGGGTGTACAGCGATGCCCTCCCACGACCTGGTGTCGGCCTGGTGTCTGCCCTTGGGGACGTCTGCCCGCCTTGCTCGCCGTCTCATAGACCGGGGCAGTGGGGACTTGCGGGAAGGAGAGGGCGGGCCCCAGCGGCCCGGATTTGACAGCCTGTCCCCCCCCATTGCCCCCTCCTCTCCCCCCCAACCCCCAGCCATCCAACAGCTCTTCACCAAGGCCCAGTGCGACAGCACCATCATCAAGGACCTCCTGGGGGTCAAGACCTACATGCGGGACCGCGACATCAGCCTCTTCCTGGGCCTCATCGAGAAGCGGCTGGTGGAGCTGCTGACGGTGCAGGCCTACCTGGACGCCCAGGTGGGGTCGGGGCTGCGGGGGGCGGGGGGCGCAGGGCGGGCCTGGGCTGACCAGCGGCTCCTCCCTGCAGAGCTACACCACGTCCAGCTTGTCGGTCGCCGCCCTCACAGTGCTGGGCAAGGACGCCGAAGACCTCCCCAAGAAGGTGGCCCCGCCCCAGCTCCCTGACAACCTGTGAGCGCAGGGCAGGCGCGGGAGGGGACAAATGGACCGCAGGGATCTGGGGGGCGGGGGAGGGGAGCGGGGGGGGGGGCGGGCGGGAGGCCTCTTTGGGACCAGAAGTTGCTGTGGCTCTGGGGGAGGAGACGAGGGAGTGGGCGCTTTGGGGACCAGAGGGGAGAGGGCCCTCCGGCGGGCAGAGCGCGGCTCCGGGCCTCGGTGTGGCCGCGAGGAGCCATCGGCCGGGTGTGGGTGCAGCAGGCAGCCCCTCCCTGCCGCTCCCCGCTTTAGGGAAGAGCCCCCAGGCTTCGAGGCCAAAGAAGACTATCCCTTGAGCAAGGAGGAGCTGCTGAGCTACGTGATGAAGTCGGTGAGAAGGGGCGGGCGGCCGGGGCAGGGCCGGGCCCAGCCCTCCCGGGGCCTTGCTCACCGCCCCCCTCCCCCAGATGGAGGCCCGGGAGCTGGCGAGGGAGCAGCACATGAAGGAGCTGATGGAGATGGCCAAGAAGATGGACAGCGGCCAGCCCCTGAACCTCTCCGCGAGCCAGCGGCCCAGCTCCGGCACACCCCTGGCCATCTCCGGGAGCCCGAGTGCCGGGCCCGGGTCCGTCCTGAGCCACAGGACCAACGGCATCCTGGTGTCCAGCCGCGCCACCAGCGCCAACGTGGGCCACGTCACCTTCGGCGACCCCAGCACCATGGGCTCCGCCAGCGGCAGCCAGTTCTCCGCGGGCGGCCGCGTGGCCTTCAGGCCGGTCAGCTCCAGCAGCTACCTGGGCTCCACCGGGTACCTGGAGTCCAGCGGCGGCTCCGAGAGCTTGGGCGGCCTGCCGAGCAAAGGCACCGAGTCCGAATCCAGCCCTGGCCCTGCCTCCAGCACTGGCCCAGGCTCCATGGAGAGCAAAGAGTCCTGAAGCCACAGCTGGGCGCCTACCCGCCCTCCCCGCTCTCTGCAGGCCATCTCCCCTCGAGTGCTTCTGCCCCCGTATCGCCCCCCCATTGTCCCTGTGGCTCCATCTTCTCCCGGCCCCAGCCTCTGCCCCCACAGCGTCCCCACTTCCCCTTCCTGTGTCCCTGTGTCCCGTCCCATCGGCTCTTCCTCATCTCCTCTCTGTCTCCTGGCCTCTCTCTGTTCCCGCCCTCTTTCCCTTTCTGTCACCCAGTCTCCTGTTGTCAAAGTTTCCCTGCTCACTGTGTGTCTGTCTTGTCTCGCATCTGTCTCCCCGTCTCTGCCGACTTCCCTGGTTCTCCTCCCACCTCCCGTTTCTGCTTCCCCATTTCTAGTTCCTTCTCCTCGTCTCCATCCCCCTGGCTCTCCCGGCCGAGGTCCCTGTCTCAGTGGCTCCTCATTCCTTGCCCTCCCCGTGAGCCCCCAGCACTGACCCCGAGGAAAGAATTGGTGCCGAAAGTTCAGGGTCAGCATGAGCTGCGACCACAGGAAATAAAGGGCAGAGCCCAACTGTACCCCAGCCTGGCGACAAGTGTCTGTGCGAGAGAGGGATCTGTAGACATGGCTGTTTCTTGAGCTCCAGCCCAGGGGAAAATTTATGGCCCTGTTCACTCACTCATTCACTCACTCACTCACTCACTCACTCACTCATTCATTCATTCACTCACTCACTCATTCATTCATTCACTCACTCACTCATTCATTCACTCACTCACTCATTCACTCACTCACTCACTCATTCATTCATTCACTCACTCACTCACTCACTCATTCATTCACTCACTCACTCACTCACTCACTCACTCATTCATTCATTCATTTTGTTGAGGCCTCCACATTTCAGGCTCTCCTGAGAACTGGGCACTGTATCAGTCAGGACAGGCTGTTATGCTGCAGTAACAAACAAGCCCAGGATCTCCGTGGCTTAATGCAGCAAAGGTTTACTACTGGCCAGTGCTGGTGGCCTATTGGGGGTCACTCAGGGCTCTGCTCCATCCATCCTGGTGTCCCAATTGCTGTCGCTGGGAGAGATAAGGGCAAAGCTGCCATGACTTCTCAGTCTCTGGCCTGGATACGACACATATCACTTCCACAAACATTTATTGACCCCCAGCAGGTCATGTGACCACACGACTTCAAAGGGTGGTGGGAAGTGCAGTCTGGAAGTGCAAAGGGAGAGGGAAATGGATATTTGTGGAGGCCCTGTGCCTGCCCCCGGCTCACAGAGATGAAGTAGATTGTGTCCCTTGCCTGCTGGGGCAGGTTTGGGAGTGAGACCGATTCGAACGTCACAGATAACTCTTTCCTGCCATTTTCCTGTTTGATGTCCTGTCAGACATTTTTTTAAAAAATAGTTTTGATTTTTAGAGAGCGAGGAAGGGAGAAAAACATCGATGTGGTAGAGAAACATCAATTGGCTGCCTCCTGCACCCCCCCCCCCCGCCCCCACCCACCAGGGCTAAGCCTGTAACCCAGGCATGTGCCCTGGCTGGGAATTGAACTGGCAAGCTTTCAGCGCACCAGATGACACCCAACCAACAGCCACACCGGCCAGGACACCTCGTCAACATGTAATGCAACCAAATCAAGGCAGATAATCCATCTGCCTCCTCCCCAATCCAGGAAGGTAATACTCTGGGTCCCCTTCCCCTCAGATGGGTTGATAACAGTCCACACCTCCGAGGGATTTGTTTGAGAATGAAAAGAATCCCTTTTCATTGAGAACGAAAAGAATCGGTACATGGAAAGCCTTAGGATGGCATGCAGTACATGTAACACATGTCTGTGATTCTGCGTGTGACGATGACAAATTGAAAGCTAAGTAGCGTTTCCTCACCTGTCAGACAATCGGTCTTGCTCTCCCTTCACCTGAGCCTACGACCAGGGGAGGCTTACCCAGGGGTCCCCGGTAAACGCGTAACAGCGGGCTCTTCAGGGAAACAATCCTGACTTGCAGTGTGGACCCGTTTCTGCGGTGTCACTATTGCCACCTCGCATTCATTTTGTCCCACATGAAGACTTGCATTTTTAAAAAAATATATTTTATTGATTTTTTACAGAGAGGATGGGAGAGGGATAGAGAGCCAGAAACATGGATGAGAGAGAGACATCGATCAGCTGCCTCCTGCACACCCCCTACTGGGGATGTGCCCGCAACCAAGGTACATGCCCTTGACTGGAATCGAACCTGGGGCCCTTCAGTCCGCAGGCCAACGCTCCATCCACTGAGCCAAACCGGACAGGGCAAGACTTGCATTTTTAAATCAGAGCTCTGGAATGCCATCCTATATAATAAAAGCCTAATATGCTAAATGTCCAAGTGTTTCTTCAACCAGTTGCTATGACGTGCACTGACCACCAGGGGGCAGATGCTCCAACCTGTAGGTTAGCTTGCTGCTGGGGTCTGGCCGATCGGGACTGAGTGAGGGGCCGGACATGTCCTAGAGCCAACATCCCTCGGCCCTTCCCTGGCCTCTAAAATATTTCTTCTAGCCCTAGCTGGTTTGGCTCAGTGGATAGAGCATCGGGCTGTGGAATGAAGGGTCCCAGGTTTGATTCCGGTCAAGGGCACATGCCTGGGTTGGGGGTTCGATCCCCAGTTGGGGTTGTGCAGGAGGCAGCCGATCAATGATTTTCTCTCATCATTAATATTTCTATTTCTCTCTCCCTCTCCCTTCCTCTCTGAAATCAATAAAAAATATATATTAAAATATTTCTTCTAATTAATTTGCTTTCAATGTGCACCAATCCATGCACCCGGCCTCTAGTTAATTTATATATACAGTGTAAGAAAACAGCTGACCCATGCAAACTCAATCTTACGGCCAAAAATGGAGAAAAGGCTGAATTACATTATACTCAATAGCAGTAAAATGTGGAGTGTTTAGTGTTTTCCCAGGAAGGAGGCTGAAACTGGTCCTGCGACACGCAAGCTGTGTGGCCTTGGACGCGTGTCTGCACCTCTCTGAGCTCAGTTCCTCTTGTGGAAATCAGAGCTGCCAGCCAGTCCTGAGAAATACCACTGGGGGCGTGGTCTGGGGACCAACCCTTTCCCACCGTAATTGGTGACCAGGGATCATCCAGGACAGTGGGAAACTCTATCTGGCCTTGTCCGTGGAGACTCGGAAATGTAGCCAGCGTCTAAAAATACGAACGGAGTGGAATAAAGAAGCATGATGCGGCACGAAACCATGTTGTCAATGTGAAATGACTTCTGGATGTGCCTCAGAAAAGTCTGGAAGCCACTGGTCGAGGGCTCCCAGCTTCGCACACTGATTCCCAGATAACTGACCCTTCACGCGGGACAGTGACTCCCCCTTGGTCCTAAAGCAAACATTTCGGTGCCGGCCGCGCTGTCCTACAGCAATCCGCCGCCAGGTGGCGCCCGCGTCCCGCCGCGAGCGGGTTCTGCTCTGTCTCACTGTCTCTAAGGATGTGCCTTTTCCGGAAAATTCTTTACGAATGGAATCATACAATCCTCGTTTGTGTCAAACACTTCTGTATGCGTCATATGTGGATCGTACAGCCCAGCGATTCCACTTCGACTCCACCCGGAGACCCACTCAATGCCAAGGCAGTCTTAGCAGCAGCGTTTGCAGAATCTACAGTGAGATATGCAGGGTCTCTTACGTGAATTTAACTAAAAAATAACCCACAGGGCAGCGAAGAAGAACAGGTAACACCTGCAGCGCACCTGGGTTCATCTTTCTTTCTCTGAATGAAGCAAGATACAGAACTATCAGCCCAAACAGAAAATATGATATTCGGGGATTTAAGCACAGGTGGTGAATACAAAGATGATCAAGAGGATGAATAATCTAAAATGTGCCGGAACCGGTTTGGCTCAGTGGATAGAGCGTCGGCCTGCGGACTGAGAGGCCCCAGGTTCGATTCCGGTCGAGGGCGTGTGCCTGGGTTGCGGGCACATCCCCAGTAGATGTGCAGGAGGCAGCTGATCGATGTTTCTCTCTCATCGATGTTTCTGACTCTCTATCTCTCTCCCTTCCTCTCTGTAAAAAAATCAATAAAATATATATATAAAAAAAAGAGTTTAAAATGTAAGACAGTGGTTTCCTCTTGGGGGTGAGGGGGCATCACCTGTAAGGACCAGAAAGAACCGCCTGGCATTTCAGGATAAATGTGCGTAGACACAGATGGTGGGGGTGTGGCCATCACCTTACTGACTTTTAACTCTGTGTGGACATTTTCATACGCTTTTGGTTGTCACATTTCCCAATCTTTACATTATTATTATTATTATTATTATTATTATTATTTAAATAAGTGAACTATATAGTGTTTTTCAATGTTTATTGATTGGGGGGGGGGGAGGAAGAGGGGGGGAGAGTGAAACATCCATTTGTTGTTCTGCTGATTCACACATTCATTGGTTGATTCTTGTATGTGCCCTGAGGATCGAACCTAAACCTTGGCGTATTGGGACGATGCTTTAACCAACTGAGCTACCCGGCCAGGGTTCATTTTCCCAATCTTTAAAAAATTGAAAGAACAGCAAAGGAAACCATCAACAAAATGAAAAGACTGGAAAAAACAAAAAAAAACACCCCAACAACACTGAAAGGAAAAAAACAACCCACTGAATGGGAGAACATAGTCACCAATGATAAGGGGTTAATATCCAAAATTTATAAAGAACTTATATATAACAACACCAAAAACAAAAAACAAAACACACAAAATCAATTAAAAATGGGCAAAGAATGTGAACAGGCACTTCTCCAAAGAGGACACACAGATGGCCCATAGACATGAGGAAAGATGTTCAGCGTCACCAGTCATCAGATAAATGGAAATTAAAACCACAATGAGATATCAGAATGGGTGTCATCAATAAATCAACAAACAAGTGCTGGCGAGGACGTGGAGAAAAGGGAGCCCTCATGCACTGCTGGTGGGAACGCAGGCTGGTGCAGCCACTGCGGAAAACGGTGTGGAGTTTCCTCAAAAAATTCAAAATGGAACTGCTTCGTGACCCTGTGAATCCACTTGCGGGAATATACCCCAAGAAACCTGGAACCCTAATTCAAAAGAATGTGTGCACCCCCGTGTCCATTGCAGCGTTATCGGCAAGCGCCAAGATCTGCAAACAGCCCATGTGCCCGTGAGTAGGTGAGTGGATAGAAAAGCTGTGATACATGTACACAGTGCAATACTATGCAGCTGTAAAAAAGAGAAGGAAATCTTACTTTTTAAAAAGTATATTTTTATTGATTTCGGAGAGGAAGGAAGAGGGAGAGATAGAAACATCCATGATGAGTGAGAATCAGCTGCCTCCTGCAAGTCCCCCACTGGGGCTCCAGCCCAAAACCCCGGGCATGTGCCCTTGACTGGAATTGAACCTGGGACCTTTCAGTTCGCAGGCAGAGGCTCTATCCACTGAGCCAAACCGGCTAGGACAGAAATCTTACTTTTTATGACAGTTTGTACGAACGTGGAGATTATTATGTTAAGCGAAATAAGCCAGTCAGAGAAAGACACATACTGTATGATCTCATTTATATGTGGAAGCTAATGAACAAAATAAACTAGCAAGCAAAATAGGGCCAGAGGCATGGATACATGGAACAGACGGACAGATCTCAAGAGGGGATGGAGGGTGGGGGCACTGGAAGAGATTAGCCAAAGAACATCTATGCATATGGGCATAGCCCGTGGATACAGACAACAATGAGGTGAAGGTTGCGGGAGGGGGAGAGGTACCAGGACTGGGTAGAGGGGAGCAAAGGGGAAAAAAAATGGGAGACATCTGTAATAGTGTCAACAATCAAAAACAAACAAAAAAAAAGATGAAGGTTAAAAGCTTTCCACAGATCTTATCTTCACCGGCTTTCTTTCCAGTGTGCAATTCCCCATTTCTGTACGATGCGAGGGCTAACGGAAGACTTTCCCCTGTCCGTTGACTTATGGAGCTCCCTTCCAACATGTCCTCTCCACTCACTCAGGACTTTGAGAAGAGCGAAGCTTCCCCCACCTCCCTTTCCTTCGGAGGGTCTCTCTTAGCTGTGCTTCTTCAGATGGCTCTTAAGTGATGAATTATTCGCGTAGCCTTGCCCACACTCTGCACACTTATAGGGCCTCTCTCCAGTGTGGATCCTCGTATGCATGGTGAGGGTCCAGGACTTGTGGAAGGCTCTCCCACACTCCTTACATTTATGGGGCTTCTCCGCAATGTGTCTGAAGAAGTGTTTCTTGAGGTGCAGCGAATATCGGAAGGTTTTCCCACACTTCTGACATGCATGGGGCTTCTCTCCAGTGTGAACAGTCCTGTGTTTCATAAAGTACGAATGATAAGCGTAGTATTTCCCACAATCTTGACACCTATAGTTTTTCTCTCCGTTCCACGTGCCCCTGTGTGACTCAGCATGTGGAACCTGGGCGAAGCTTTTCCCACTTGGATTATCCTTGTCCTTCGCCTGCGCTGGGTAAGATTGCACCGGCACAGCAGGCGTGGGGTTCCGTTGGGGAATGTTCTCACGCTCACTGGACCCGTAAACTTTCTCTTGAACGTGAGTCTCGCGTGCCCTAAGGACACAGTCTTCCGGGAAGACTTTCCCCAATTCGTAGACGTGTACCCCCCGAAATGTTTTATCAGGCGCACGAAGCGCACGATTCCGATTCTTGCCCCTCGTGACCGATCGCCGCTCTGTTGGCGTTCTCACACTCGGAGATGACCGAATGCGCTGCCGCAATCCTCTGTCGCCCTCGCTGTTTTCAGAGGTTTTGTGGCTACCCCTTAAGACACAACCTGGAACCAGACAGCCGTCTTCCTCTTGGGAAGCCGCCACACACCTCCCCCTCGGCCCCCTCCGCCTGTGTGGCTCCTCTGCTCCGAGGCCGTCCAAGTCTCCTCCTGGAGTGGGATGGTTGCTCGTGAAACACACTCTGTCGGCTTCACCAACTGTGTGTTTAGCAAGAACGTCCTGCCGAGAGGCCGAGTCTTCGGTTTTCTGTCGAATCACCTCATCTGAAATACAGCGCCCAAGAGTTAAGTTCTTGGTTGAGAGTGAAGACGGGCTGGAGAGGATAAAACTGGTAAACGGCCGTCTGGGCTTCTTTCCTTTTTAAATATGCTTTAACGTTATTTTTATTGATTTTAGAGAGAGGAAGAGAGAGGGATAGAGAGACAGAAACATCTGTGAGAGAAACATCGATCGGCTGCCTCCTGCACGCCCACTACTGGGGATTCAGCTCAAAACCCAGACATGTGGCCCTAACCGGTGTGGCTCAGTGGATAGAGCGTCGGCCTGCGAACTGAAGGGTCCCAGGTTCGATTCCGGTCAAGGGCATGTACCTGGGTTGCAGGCACATACCCAGTGGGGGGTGTGCAAGAGGCAGCTGATCGATGCGTCTCTCTCATCGATGTTTCTAACTCTCTATCCCTCTCCCTTCCTCTCTGTAAAAAATCAATGAAATATATTAAAAAAAAAACAAAAACAAAACCCAGACATGTGCCCTGACTGGGAATTGAACCACGACCTACTAGTTCATGGTTTGACAATTCTCAACCACTGAGCCACATCGGCCAGGCTAATATGCTTTTTTTTTAAAAAAAAATTGATTTTACCCTGGCTGGTTCGGTTCACTGGATAGAGCGTCGGCCTGGGGACTGAAGGGTCCCAGGTTTGATTCCGGTCAAGGGCATGTACCTTGGTTGCAGGCACATCCCCAGTGGGGGGTGTGCAGGAGGCAGCAGATCGTTGCTTCTCTCTCATCGATGTTTCTAACTCTCTATCCCTCTCCCTTCCTCTCTGTAAAAAATCAATAAAATATATATATTTTTTAAAAATTGATTTCAACCTACAACCAAGATTACTTTATCCAGCAAAGCTATCATTCAGAATTGAAGGTCAGATAAAGAGCTTCACAGGTAAGGAAAAGCTAAAGGAGTTCATCACCACCAAACCAGTATTATATGAAATGCTGAAAGGCATCCTTTAAGAAGAGGAAGAAGAAGAAAAAGGTAAAGATACAAATTATGAACAACAAACATGCATCTATCAACAAGTGAATCTAAGAATCAAGTGAATAAATAATCTGGTGATCATAATAGAATCAGGGACATAGAAAGGGAATGGACTGACTATTCTTGGGGGGGAAAGGGGTGTGGGAGATGCGGGAAGAGACTGGACAAAAATCGTGCACCTATGGATGAGGACAGTGGGTGGGGAGTGAGGGCGGAGGGTGGGGCGGGAACTGGGAGGAGGGGAGTTATGGGGGGAAAAAAGAGGAACAAATGTAATAATCTGAACAATAAAGATTTAATAATAAAAAAAAAAGACAAAAAATTGATTTCAGCCCCGGCTGGTGTTACTCAGTGGTTAGAGCACTGCCTGTGAACAGAGGAGTTTGCCGGTCAGCGGGCCCCTAGGTTTGCTTTCGGCTGGCTCAGTTTCCCCACTCAGACGATCTCTGAGTGCATTCCTTTTCCGCAAATCAATTCTCACCGGCTTTTGCTGCCATTTATCTCTTGTTTGAATTCATTCCCATGAGAAGACAAGGACTGCGGACGCAGAGCAGGGTCTCCGGCCACAGGCCACCACCCTGGTCACCGCTGACAAGATGTCCAGTTCCACGGGGGAGACCCTAGTCTACCAGCAGCAGCCGTGTCTCTGGACCATAACAAGCTGGGTCCCATGTCAGCTGCCCCCTGAACACAGGAGGGCCCGGCTCCCCTCCGGGCGCAGGACGGGCCCTTACCGACGAAGGCCAGGTTCTGGATGTTCTCCAGCATCACATCTCGGTAGAGGGCCCTCTGCTCCGGGGCCAGCAGGGCCCACTCCTCCTTGGTGAAGTTCAATGCCACATCCTTGAAGGTCACCACGTCCTACAAGTAAACACCCTTAAGCTCACTGCCATGCTCTTACAAGGTGAACTGTGTCCCCTCCCAAAGATACGCTGCAATCCTTGAATGGGAACTGATTTGCAAATAGGCCCTTTGCAGATGCAAAGGAAATAAGATGAGGTCACACAGGGCTGGAATAACGCAGTGGTTGGCAAACCATGGCTCAGGAGCCACATGCAGCTCTTTGGCCCCTTGAGTGTGGCTCTTCCACAAAATACCATGTGCGGGCAACAACATACAAACCTGACTTACCCAAACTTTCCAAGGAGATGCAAGGCCACTGTTCACATTAGTGTTTGTCAGTCATTGTCATGATTTAATTTTATGGATATTTAAGGTAAATTGTGAGGAATTTAATTTTATCAATAAATAATATCGTTATTAAGTATGATATCATGTTTTATTAACATACCTATAGTTTAAGACTTAAAACTTTAAGTAAAGTTTATTAATTTTAGGGAACGTTGTGGAGTGAAAGAAGATATAGTGTCGAGGATTGAGAAAGGTATGTTGAGATTGTTTGGATATATAGAGAGGATGAACGAAAGGAGATGGACGAAACAAGTATACAAGACAAGTGTGGATGGGAGAGTTGGAAGGGGTCGACCTCAGCGAACATACCTCAATCAGACTGAGGACGTTTTTAGCAAAGGCCAGCTTAGGAGCATCCTAGTTAAGTTAATAACAAGGTACCTACCTGTATAGTTTAAGTTTAAAAAATTTGGCTCTCAAAAGAAATTTCAATCGTTGTCCTGTTGATATTTGGGTCTGTTGACTCATGAGTTTGCCAACCACTGGCCTAAGGCAAAGTCCCCCCAAACCTGACAATCTTACTGTTTACTAAACATTACCGTTGATGTGTCTGTTTGCATTCCTAAAAGGCAATTGTGTATTCCAGTAAATAAAAGCAGCTGGGAACGGAGACTCAGAGGAACTTGAGGACTACAGTGAAGCTTTCCCTGGCTTCCCCCCATAATTCCAAGTTAATATTTCTTGTCTTGTGTGTCGATTTGCGCGTCAGCTCTTTCTCCAAGCCTTCGAACCCGAAGCCACGCTGGCCGGGGCCTTTCACCACACAGGAGCAGGTGGGCTCCTGGGAAGAGGAAATCTGGACAGACCCACAGAGGGAAGACGTCACATAACAACGGAAGGGGAGGCTGGAGTGATGTGTCCACCAGCCACGGAACGCAAGGACAGGCTGTTGTACACAGGTTGTCCCAACACATGTACGCACACCTTAGCGGCTGGTAGCGCAATGGAGGTTTCTTTCCTTTCAGCCAGACGACCCACTGAGCCAAGGAAATGCATCCTAAAATGCTACTGGAAGTCTGGAAACGCAGTGGCAGTACACACACTGCCCCTGTAATTATTCAGAGTGTGGGTACACACTTTAGCAGCTGATAACTCACTTGATTGTCACTCCTTTTCAGGTTCAACGGATTTGAAATACTGGGTGAAGCCAGACTAAGTTTTAAACAAGGAGCATGTATCCGCTAGAATTTTTTATGGGGTTACATCAGAGAAAAAGTTGACGGCACAAAATTGGCAGCGGTTGATGAATTGAGGGCGCACAGGTGCCAAACGAAATGATTCTTGATGTTAGTGATTCCATTGCTTCGCGTTATCAGCAGCGCCTGAACCAGAAGGTCACTAGTTTGAAAACAGGCATTGAACAAAAAATTCTTATTTTTTTAAAAAAATATTGTTATTGCCCTAGCTCAGTGGTTCTCAACCTGTGGGTCGCGACCCCTTTGGGGGTCGAACGACCCTTTCACAGGGGTCGCCTAAGACCATCGGAAAACACAGATATAATTACATATTGTTTTTGTGATTAATCACTATGCTTTCATTATGTTCAATTTGTAACCATGAAAATACATCCTGCAGATCAGATATTTACATGACGATTCATAACAGTAGCAACATTACAGTGAAGAAGTCGCAACGAAAATAATTTTATGGTTGGGGGTCACCACCACATGAGGAACTGTATTAAAGGGTCGCGGCATTAGGAAGGTTGAGAACCACTGCCCAAGCTGGTTTGGCTCAATGGATAGAGTGTTGGCCTGCAGACCAAAGGGTCCCAGGTTCAATTCTGGTCAAGGGCACATGCCTGGGTTGCAGGCTCGGTCCAACGTGCAGGAGGCAGCCGATCAATGATTCCCTCTCATCACTGATGTTTTTATCTCTCTCTCTTCCTCTCCCTTCCTCTCTGAAATAAATAAAAAAATATATTTAGGCTGGAGGAGACAGGATAGAAGCAAGACATCCAGGCATAACCTTGTTATGTAGCTTTTAACTGGGAAGCATGTAGTGTTTGCCTCTTCAAACACAAGAAAACAATCTGCCAAGTGGAAAGGCTGAAATAAATACAGTAGGCAGCCCTGGCTGGTGTGGCTCAGTGGGTAGAGCGCCGGCCTGCGGACCAAAGGGTCCCAGGTTCGATTCCAGTCAAGGGCACATGCCCGGGTTGCAGGCTTGGAGATTCTCTCTCATCATTGATGTTTCTCTTTCTTTCCCTCTCTCTTCCTCTCTGAAATCAATAAAAATATCTTTTAAAAAGGAAATCAATAAAATAATTGTGTTTTATAAAGAAAAATGTCCATGTCAACAGCCTCTTATATTCGCTGCAGAGAGCATATAGGGAGCTTATTTTCATGACACGAGGGGCCTTGAAAAGATGGAAGGAACTAGAGGGATGGTTATTCCCGGGTGGCCAGGAGCCGTGAACAGGGTGTAAGCACCATAAGGCAGGACAGAGGAAGGATTTCCAGGTTTGCCCTCATCATCTCCATTTTAAAAATATATATTTTTATTGATTTTCAGAGAAGAAGGAAGAGGGAGAGAGAGAAACATCAATGATGAGAGAGAATCACTGATCGGCTGCCTCCTGCACGCCCCCTACTGGGGATGTGCCTGCAACCCAGGCATGTGCCCTTGACCGGAATCGAACCCAGGACCTTTCAGTCCGCAGGCTGATGCTCTATCCACTGAGCCAAACCGGGCAGGGTTTATTTTATTTTTTAATCCTCACTTGAGGATATTTTTTCATTGATTTTTGTGGAGAGAGTGGAAGGGAGGGGGGGGAGAGAGAGAGAGACATGATGTGAGCCCCTGACCAAACCTGCAACCCAGGCACATGCCCTTGACCAGGAATCAAACCTGCGACCCTTTGGTGCTAGGGCTGACGCTCTAACCACTGAGCTTCGTTTGACTTTTTTGACTTTGAAGTCCTATTTTCTGGCCGTGAAAGAGAAAACCACAGGCCCAGAAAGGTGAGCTAAAATCCTATGATCCCAAACCTAAATTTAATACCTGACGAAGCGCCGTTTTAACCTTCCCCAGAAACCTCATCTGAATGCGGACCAGTAGTTTTATTGCTAGCTTTACCCCGTGGCCTGGTAAGTTTCTATCGCACGAGTACAAAAAAACGTTTCTACATAAATGTTAAAGGCACGCCTTAAAATTACATACCCAGTGCATTTTTGTTGGGGTCCAACCCCAGCAGGTCCAGGGGTTCCCAAAGGTGTGGACGGAGTCGGCGAAGATGGAATGACACGGAGACAGCGTTCAGTTGATCAGCATGGCGAGGCTCTTCCTTTATTCTCCTGTTACATCTGTATTTATACCAGTTGATTTTAATCCTACCCATTCCATTCCAAAGGTTAGGGCGTTTGTTATCTCCATTCCAAGGTTGTTCGTAGTTAAAGTGATTTAACTGCCTGCCTGACACTTAGCTAAGGGGTTTTACGGATTCCCTTCCTTAGTCCTGTTCATCCCTAACTCCAGGGAAAAATCCCTACCTGGGGAAACAACCTTTCTCGGAGAGGTGACCTTGGTTAAAACACATAGCACTAAGAAGGGGAGCAAACATATTAAGAACAGTATGCCATCTACGCCAGGTCCCTTGAAACATATGCTGTGCAGATGTTTCTTCCCTGCAGCGACTGTGCCAAGCTGCAAGGATGGACCGGCTTCGGGCACATTTTGAAGTTATTTGTTACATGTTCTTACAAGCTAAAATCTTCTTGAAAGTATGATACTTTGTAAAACACGGTGTAATATGAAAACACAAGAATTCTCGTGATCCGCCTGCAATGCGGTCAACCGGGGCGGAATTTTTCTGAGCAAGCAAGCACCTGCCTTCTCCAGGGCTCACGTCCAGAGCGGCAAAGTGTAAGATCAAAACAGCTCCCATTCCCTTCCCCCAAAGAGATGGCCCCGCCCCCAAAGAACCTTTCTTTGCTTTTATCAGCAGCTCCCTCGCCCCACCCTGCTTCCTAGAAAGCCTCCCACTTGGTACAGCCGTTGGGGCCCTGCCGGTAGCTGGGTGGGCTGCTGCCCCATTCACAAACCACTTAATTTGCTCTTTATAATCTTTTTTTTTTTAAAAAAAAATATATTTTTAAATATATCTTCATTGATTTCAGAGAGAGGAAGGGAGAGAGAGATAGAAACATCAATGATGAGAGATAATCATTGATTGGCTGCCTCCTGCACGTCCCCCACTGGGGATCGAGTCCGCAACCCAGGCATGTGCCCTTGGCCAAAATCAAACCCGGGACCCTTCAGTCCGCAGGCCGACACTCTACTCACTGAGCCAAACCGGATAGGGCTAAAAATATATTTTTAATCATTTCAGAGAGAAACATCAATGATGAGAGAGAACCCTTGATGGGCTGCCTCCTGCACGCCCCACACTGGGAATCGACACGGAATCGGACTGCAACCTTCTGAGTCATAGATTAATAGGCAACCACTGAGCCACGCCGGCCGGGCTCATTTGCTCTTTAAACGGTTGAATTTTGGGTTTTAGCACAGCTAAAACGGCCCTGTCGTCTCAAAATTCTCTAGGGCCACAAACAACCCGTATTCTTCCAGTCGGAACGGTGCTTCTGTATCTTAAATATACCAATTCCATTTCTCGAGAAATATGCAACCAAATTTTTGGAATCCAAAGATTCAGATATTGATGTTCATACCTGAACACCCAGCCGAGGTTCTTCCGGGGACCGTGTCTCTCGAAGTTGAAAAATAAAAATCTTGGCCCCTAGTCGGTTTGTCTCAGTGGATAGAGCGTTGGCCTGTGGACTGAAGGGTCCCGGGTTCGATTCCAGTCAAGGGCACATGCTCAGGTTTCGGGATTAATCCCCAGTAGGGGGCGTGCAGGAGGCAGCTGATCAATGATTCTCTCTCTTCATTGATGTTTCTCTCTCTCCCTGTTTCTTCCTCTCTGAAACCAATTAACATATATTAAAAAAAGAATAAAAATCTTGGACCAGAAGATTTTTATCATCGGATTCATTGGACGGGGAGGGGGCCCTAGAGAGGGCGGCCACCAATGGCCACTTATTGAGGGGCTTATATTTGCCAGAGCTTCCTCATTTCCTCCTGTGCGTTACCTCCCGATTGGCCTACCCTTTGGGTAGTCTTAGTTTATTTAAGTCTCTCCAGCCACATTGTAACTACGCGCTCCCCCCCGTGCCACCCATCAGCTGGAAATGTCAGGCCTGGGTGACATGGCCTGCAAAGTCAAAAATGGCTCTCTCTCTCTCTCTCTCTCTCTCTCTCTCTCTCATACTATTTTAACTCACGGAGAAACCTTGTGCTCTAAATATCCTATCCTACTGCCCTAGCCCAGTTTCCTCAGTGGATAGATCAGTGGTTCTCAACCTTCCTAATGCCGCGACCCTTTAATACAGCTCCTCATGTTGTGGGGACCCCCAACCATAAAATTATTTTCGTTGCTACTTCATAACTCTAATGTTGCTGCTGTTATGAATCGTCATGTAAATATCTGATACGCAGGATGTCTTTTCATGGCTACAAATTGAACATAAGGAAAGCATAGTGATTCATCACAAAAACAATATGTAATTATCTATGTGTTTTCCGATGGTCTTAGGCGACCCCTGTGAAAGGGCCGTTCGACCACCCCCCAAGGGGCCGCGACCCACAGGTTGAGAACCGCTGGGATAGAGCATCTGCCTGCCCGGTTCTGGGCTCCATCCCCAGCAGGGGGCGTGCAGGAGGCAGCCGATCAGTGGTTCTTTCTCATCATTGATGTTTCTCTCCCTTCCTCGCTGAAATATATATATATATATATATATATGTAAAAATCCTAGCCTACCTAAAACGTGGCTGTGTGCATCATAACAGCAAGAAAAGGACCTCCCACACTTGCCTGGGGCATCCAAGTCACGGGCCTGGAGAAGCCGGGCTTTGAGATAAGGGGCCGGCATTCCACCGTTATCTCGAGTTTGTGGTTTCCAAGGAAACAGCCATCAGGGATGATAAACCCTCCGCCAACTGCTCAGCCGGCTCCTATCTCAGCGGCGGCTTCGTTTAAATCGAGCCTTTTCCCCCCCGCAGTGAAGGACCCCAATTCTCCCTGGATCAGGCAGGTCCTCGTGGGGCGCGGTCTCCCCGCAGTACAGCCGGGGCCCCAGTTTCCTCCCCGGGGATCCCCTGCGCGTTAGCTCGGGGCGGCGGGGAAGGGAGGGAACAGGCATCAGGCGGGGCCGCTGGGGCGAGCCCGCAGAAGGAAGCCACGTCTGGCAGCCGACTCCCCGGCCACCCCCTCCCCTTCACCGGGTCCCTTTGCAAACTCCCTCCGCGGGAGCCTCGGTTCACCCAAAGGAGGCACGTGCCCCTCGGACCAACTCACACCCCGAGGCCCTTTCTCTGGAAAGTCGCCGGCTGCCCTCTCTGCCGGCCCGGATCCCCAGCTCACCCTCCTCACCCCCGACTCCAGCGCCGCGACACGTGTTCGCAGTCCAACCGCACAGCTCGGCGGCCGCCGCCCTCGGCGTGTCCCCAGGGTCAAGGGCGTTTTGCCAGGCGGTTGCACCCCCGCCCCGCCCCCCGGGGGAGGGGAACTCAGGCGCAGCACGTGGGCCGCTCCCCGCCGCCCTCTGGTCCCCCGCGAAGGCTCGGCTTTTGCAGACCCAGCTCCCGGCTGCCCGGCCCGCCCCGCCATGCCCAGGGCTGGAGGCGCCGCGCGGCGGGCACACTCACCATCCCCGCAGCACCGGCTTCTGGCGCCGCGCGCGAGCTCATTCAGGCGCCTGAGGGTTGCGGAGCGGGAACAAGAGCCCGTTTGGAACCGAACGAACCAGAAGAATCAAATAAACCCATGCAAACACCCCTCCCCCGCCCCGGGACGGGGGAGGGATCTGGGCGGGCACTGCCTACCTGCTTCCCACCCCCTTCCTCCAGGTGCACGGGTTGCAGCCGCGGGCCGGATCAGGCCCGTTTGAAATGAATAAAACTATTGAAAAAAAAAGACCGTACCCTTTTATGTAATGATGTTTACTTTGAATTTATATTGGTTCACACAAACACTCCATCCATGCTTTTGTTCCGGCCCTCCAGTCCAGTTTAAGAACCCATTGTGGCCCTCGAGTCGAAAAGTTTGCCCACCCCTGATTGGGGGTGAAGGGGAGGAGGAGAAGCCTCGCGGGAAGGGGACCCCCGGGAACCGCACCCCTGTCCGCCCTCCCTCGGGACCGGACCTCTCGGAGCGCAGGGCCTGACCCCGCCCCCAGCAGATTTGCATCTCCCAGGCCCTGGGTGCTCCCAGGCACCAGCATTCCTGCGTCCTCCCGGCCTTCCAGCCGCGGACCCGCACTGCCTCCTGGCCCAGAAGCACTCGGTCCAACCCAACTTCCCGTCTTTGTAGCCTAAATGCACGGCGGGCATAGCTGCTTCTCCCCGGGTTTTATTTGATAAGAACCCAGCCAAGCCGCTTAGCAACTGAGCTGCTCAGACTTCATCAGGGACAAGGGATGAAGCAGCTGACTTGGCTTTGATAGAAAAGCCATCTTATTCTTTTATTTTTCTAAACAGATTTTTATTGATTTCAGAGAGGAAGGGAGAGGGAGAGAGAGAGAAACATCAATGGTGAGAGAGAATCACTGATCAGCTGCCTCCTGCACGCCCCCTACTGGGGATTGAGCCGGAAACCCAGGCATGTGCCCGTGACCAGAATCGAACCTGGGACCCTTCAGTCCAGAGGCCGAAGCTCTAGCCTCTGAGCCAAACCAGCCAGGGCAAGCAATCTTATTCTTTTTTTTTTTTCTTTTTCTTTTTTTTTTTTTTTATCTTATTCTTTTTAAAAAAATATATATTTTATTGATTTTCCACAGAGAGGAAGGGAGAGAGATAGAGAGTTAGAAACATTGATGAGAGAGAAACATCGATCAGCTGCCTCCTGCACAACTCCCACTGGGGATGTGCCCGCAACCCAGGTACATGCCCTTGACCAGAATCGAACCTGGGACCTTTCAGTCCGCAGGCCGATGCTCTATCCACTGAGCCAAACTGGTTTCGGCAAGCAATCTTATTCTTAAAGACTTGATTTTTGTCATAAACAAGTGGATTTGAATCATATCAAACCAATATACATTTTTGAATGAAATGTCTCTTCATTTCTACTAATGCAATTCTACCTTAAAGCTTATGTGGTCTAATATTAATATATATCTTGTTAATAAACAAAATTCAGCCCTAGCCGGTTTGGCTCAGTGGATAGAGCATTGGCCTGCAGACTGAAGGGTCCCCAGTTCGATTCTGGCCAAGGGCACATGCCTGGGATGAGGGCTTGATCCCCAGGGTGGGGGCGTGCCGAAGGCAGTCGATCCATGATTCTCTCTCAACACTGATGTTTCTATCTCCCTCTCCCTTCCTCTCTGAAATCAGTAAAAATATATTTTAATAAACACATTTCATTAACTACCAAGAATTAAAAATAAGAATATCCTGACAAAACTTAGAGTCTAAAATAGTCATCGTTCCGTAGCTAAGCACGTTACAGGCAGGGGCAGTTTCAGTTCTCCATTTGGTCAGCCTCAGCCACAGGAGTGTAGCAGATGCCGGCCCAGACAAGGCCTGCAACATCCTGTCCCCAGGCATCAGCAAGGAAACCACAGAGAGAAGAAAGCGCCAGACACCGACACACAGGAAAGAGAATATCAAAACCACGGGAGAGCTGAAACGGGAAACTGCTCGTCACCACTATTCCTTCGTTCCCCTCTTCCCACGATCCCCTTACAAACGCCCTTGGCCCATCCTGAGATGTTGAGATGGCTGCTGAGGCGGGAGCCTGCCATCCTCTCAGGTTTTCGGCACCTGAATAAACCTCTTTCCTTCCATCTGCACCTGTGTGGTGTGTTTGGTGTCATGGCAGCAGGCAAAAGAACTGGAGGCTTGCTTAGGCTGGTTTCAGTTCTACTCCCTACCCTCACACATGCATAGCCTCTCCCCTTACCAACACCGTGCATCAAAATGCTATATTTGGTTTTTAAAAATATATATATATATTATTGATTTATTACAGAGAGGAAGGGAGAGGGATAGAGAGTTAGAAACATCAATGAGAGAGAAACATGGATCAGCTGCCTCCTGCACACCCCCTACTGGGGATATGCCCGAAACCAAGGTACATGCCCCTGACCGGAATCGAACCTGGGACCCTTCAGTCTGCAGGCCAACGCTCTATCCACTGAGCCAAACCGGTCAGGGCTTTAGTAATTATTTTGATGATGACAGATTCCATGTGTTACCTCAGATGATCCGCAAACTTGTGAGATGACTATTATTGTTCCCATTTTACAGATGAGGAGACTGGGGCACTGCACTTTAATAATCCTACAGATAACAGTGAATTCTATAGAACATCCCAAGTCCTCCTCAACCACCTCCCCATCCATTTGCTAATGTCCTCCTTGCCTCCTTGTGCCCCAATTCCTCCTTTATCACCCCAAATTCCTGGTTATCAAATCCTCTCCTTTGTCCCCTCACCTCCCATATGTCTCTTTCTCTTAACCCCCTAAAATATCACTGCTCCTTTATTCTGAATAGCCTCCATTCATTTAATCAGCATCATTCATGGAGCGTTTGTTTCCTCTGTGCCAGGCACAGTTCTGGGCACTGCAATTTCCATGGTGAACGGAACAACGCCGCCCCCTAGTGGAGACGATGGACAATGAAAAGGCACACGATCAATGAACAAGATTAATTATAGATCGGGAGACGTTTCTAAAAGAAATACTACAGCCCTGGCTGGCTTGGCTTAGTGGACAGAGTGTCGGCCTGCGGACTGAGGGGGTCTCAGGTTCGAGGTCCCAGGTTCGATTCTGGCCAAGGGCACATGCCTGGGTTGCGGGCTCGATCCCCAGTTGGGGGTGTGCAGGAGGCAGCCGATCAATGGTTCTCTCTCATCATTGATGTTTCTATCTCTCTCTCCTTCTCCCTTCCTCTCTGAAATCAATAAAGAAATATTAAAAAATAAATAAATAAAAGAAATACTACAAAGGGCTGGGATAGCTGCTGGGGTGAGAAGGGGGAGGTGGTTACTTTAGCTAGGGCTGTCCAAGGCAATGAATCCTCTCCTGGGAGGTAACATTTTTTTTTTTTTTAAATCCTGGCCCGAAAAAATAAATAAATAAATAAAATCCTGGCCCGAGGTTCTTTTTCCTCTCTGAAATCAATAAAAATATATTTTAAAAATATGGTGCGCACATAAAGCACAGATAGTAAAGTAGCTCATTGTATCATCTGTCCTAGTATTTTTCTTTTGTTTATATATTTTATTGATTTTTTTTACAGAGAGGAAGGGAGAGGGATAGAGTCAGAAACATCGATGAGAGAGAAACATCGATCAGCTGCCTCCCGCACACCCCCCACTGGGGACATGCCCGCAACCAAGGTACATGCCCCTGACTGGAATCGAACCCGGGACCCTTCAGTCCGCAGGCCGACGCTCTATCCACTGAGCCAAACCGGTCAGGGCTGTTCTACTATTTTTTATCAAAATATTTTTGCCGGGGTCCAACCCCAGCGGGTCCAGGGGTCCCCAAAGGTGTGGACGGAGTCGGCGAAGAAGGAAGGACACGGAGACAGCGTTCAGTTGATCAGCAGCCTAGCCAGGATCTCTAGCCAGGATCTCCAGCCAAGTTCTGGTCTGGATCTCCAGCGAAGTTCTGCTTAGGATCTCCAGCCAGGTTCTGTCCAGGTTCTCCAGCCAGGTTCTAGTCAGGTTCTCTTGCCAATTTCTGTAGTCAGGTTCAGTCCAGGATCTTTTGCCATGTTCTCTCGCTAGGTTCTGTCTCTAGGTTCTGAGGCCAGTTTCTGTCCAGTATCTTTTGCCATGTTCTCTCCAAGCGAAGTTCTTCTGTCTCTAGAGAACGTTCTGTGTAGGTTCTGTGCCTAGGTTCTGTCTCTCTTGGTTCCGTATTCTAAGTTCTGTGTCTTGCTGTCTTATTACATCTGTATTTATACCAGTTGATTCAATCCTATCAATCTCTATTCCAAAGGTTAGGGCGTTTCTTATCTCCATTCCAGGGAGTAAAGATTATGTAGCTTAAGCATGATTGTTCGTAGTTAAAGTGATTAATTACCCACCTGGCACTAGTTAAGAGGTTTTATTCCCTCCCTAACTTCAGGGGAAAATCCCTACCTGGGGAAACAACCTTTCTCAGAGACCTTGGTTAAAACACATAGTGCCAAGAAGGTGAGCAAACATATTAAGAACAGTATGCCATATATGCCAGGTCCCTTGAAACAGCAAGCATGGACCGGCTCCCGGCATATTTTTACTGATTTCAGAGAGGAAGGGAGAGGGAGAGAGAGATCGAAACATCCATGATGAGAGAGAATCATTGACTGGCTGCCTCCTGCACGCCCCACACTGGGGATGGAGCCCGCGATCCGGGCATGTGCCCTTGACCAGAATCGAACCTGGGACCCTTCAGTCTGCAGGCTTGAGCTCTACCCATTGAGCCAAACCAGATAGGGCTGTCCTACTGTTGTATAAGGTCGGCAATTTTCAGAATGAAGTTTTTCACAACAAAAACACTTAGCATAGCCTTGAGCACACAGTGAGCGCTGATGCTAGCGTTGGCTTCAGCACTCCTCTTTTTCTTCAGTATCCCCAGCCCCTCTTCCTACCGCCCAGTTACCCTCCAATGCCCCATGACCCCTATAGTAACCCACTCTCCCCAAACACCCCCATTCCCCCAAATTCTTGTTCCCAGGTTAAAACACAGGATGCCTGACTGCGTTTGCATTTCAGATAAACAACAAATAACTAAAATACTGCGTGCTGTGAAATTCGAATTTAACCGGTTGCTTTCCCCCGACATCTGGCAATCC